CTGTAACGTCCCAGTTACAGCTTTATTTAGAAAACAAGATACCGTTACAGCTTAAATTTACCGATACACCTTGTAGTATGTCTGGTAAATGTTCAGTTTATCAATTGTTTATACACAAGCTGTACATATACAATTTCAAAATACAAGGGAAATGCACTTTATCTTTCCGTAAATTTGACATTAACAGAGGATAAACTGTAAGTCAGTAGCCAAATAAACCTCAATTCTGAGCTCTTGCATCTCGTTCATTTAAAAAAAAACAATGATAATACCATGTTTCGCTGTGCCGCTGTGCTAAGCCTACCTACTTACTTGTATGACTAATTCTTACCTTTTAAATTCATTGTGCCTACATCACTCTTTCTATTTAACTCTTTCAAAACGCAGTTCATTAATTGTGTTCCATGTATACTCATGATGACATAAGTTTTGAAGTGTTTTATTTCTAAATAAACATCAATAACTTCGGGCATTCTCAAGTGTAGGCAGTGAAAGTTGGCCCTCATCCAAAAAAAAAAAACAAAAAACAATCACGCACCAGTGGCACTATGTGAAAAGTCTACCATGTAGCTTTCTCTCTTTGTGCGTAAATGTTTGCATAACAATATGATGATAATAATAATAATAATAATAATAATAATAATAATAATAATAATAACAATTGTCGACTTACGCCTATTTATCAAACCATTGCTAAAGGAATATTTGCATAACAATCTGTACAATGATTTATCGTCCAATGAGTGCTCAGCACAAATTATGTAACGGTTGATGATTTTTATGCTGCGTCATATTTGATTCATACATATGTATATATATATATATATATATATATATATAAATATATATGCGTCACAATTTATCTGTCTCTACTTTATAAAGCCACCCGAAGTATCAGTTATGGATTCTAAATCATTCGCATATCGGTGTTTTATTTCACTGTGGGTGCTGTTAATCGTTGAAATTGATACTAGTTTATGTTCAGGAGAGCAAACGATTGATCCATCACTACAACAGGTACAAGTACTTGTAGGAACACAAAACGTGAAACTGGATTGTCTAGTCGATAACCAACAAAATGGCGATGTATGTTGGTACATTGTCGATAAGACATCGGAAACAATTATCAGTATAAACGAAAGTACAAAAATGAATTCTTTCGATATCGAGTACGATAGACTAACACATAATTATCGTTTGGTTATTAAAACTGTCAATAAATTTCTTGAAGGAGTTTATTGTTGCAAATTGATAACCAAGGTGAACGCATATATACCAATTACCGTAACTTTAGTGACAGTCAGTTTAGAAGCAGTTGTTTTACCTTCTGAGCTAAAAGTAAAAATCGACATAGAAAAAACAGATGTTGTGGAAGGTGATATAGTGAATGCCACTTGCAGTGCCTTCATTGGGGATATTCCAGGTAATTTTGATTTGTTTATATTGAACACCAAAGGAATGCATCATAAGATGGATAATAGCATAGTGCAACAACATAGATTCAATTCCGTCACACTTGAAATATATGTAACGCGCAACATGTCTACAATCCAGTGCAATGTAACACATGATCTTCTTCCAAATGTCTTGAGCTGTTCTACACCGCAACTGAATGTACTTTACCGGCCACAATTCCATAGTGGAAAAATGAATATTACAGTAAATAAAGTGATCATAACTATAAACGTCACGTCCAATCCCAAAGCAGACATATCGTGGCACTGTTGGTGGAACACTAAAAATGTTGATAATACGACTTGTCGTCATGCTGCAACAGCCAAAACAAATAATTCGTTTCAATGGATGCTTCCAACCAACGGTACAAAAACAGATGGCAGTGGTATCATAATTAAGCTCCAAGCTAATAATATTATTGGAAACGATACATACATATTCAACATTTCAACTCCAAAAACTGAAAATGAAATAAGAACTGATGAAAATGAAATAAGAACTGATGAAAATGAAATAAGAACTGATGAAAATGAAATAAGAACTGATGAAAATGAAATAAGAACTGATGAAACTGATATTACCGAGATGTTGCTTATAGTTTCTGTTATAAGCGTGGTTATAGGCCTACTGACATGCTTAGCCTTCAATATTTGTTAAAAGCGATATTTAATGTAGGCCTAGACATAACCGAGGGACTTTCACAAACGTAGGGTCTTGGTTCTTAGTGTGGTAATCCCTTTACAGCTGTGATCACCTAAACTGGGATGATTGTGCTAGTGTGATGTCTGTAGCCAGTCAGAAAAAAATAATGAAGTGCTTGAAAATGGAAATCAATTAAACTTCGGAGGCACTATACTGCCCCCCCCCCCGCCACCCACCCAATGGCAAAAAGGCATAACTGAAATATTTGGCCAAGTTGAGTTATATAGCCTAGTGGGGTCAGTACATGATGTTACACAAGTTGACACAAAAAATTGTAAAAAAAAAAGTGTCCCCCGGGCTAGATAGGGGCATGAAAAAAGGCCATAACTACATAATTTTCAGTAAATTCCCAAGGCAAAAGGGCAAAACTGCAAAGATAGGCTGTGATACGATGAAGCGTGACGTTCTTTTAACAGCCAACCACTCAGAAGAGAGCGTTCTCCCTCTTTACAATGAAGATTGCTTGTTAAGTTTTATTATTTTGGTAATTCATACTGTTTGTGGAGTCACAATTTGTAAACAGAAATTGGTTAAATAGTATGATTCTTAACAATAGCATATGTCTAGTTAATGCTATGCAAGCATGATAAGTCAAGTTAATTTATACTATATAATCTTGCCTTACTTTTAATGGCATACAGTTTAATACTATGGAAATAAATCTAGGGAATAATAGTAACTGTTTAATAAAAATAATTAACCATGGCAGAATAACAATTCCCATTTTAACTAGAAATAGCTCTTGTGCGAGGCCCCAGACCCCTAGGGGTACTTAGGCCCCCTACCCAATGGGTCCTCGATCTAGCACCTTGAGGCAAAAAGGCTTTGGTGATACATAACAGCATACCAGTGTTAATTTTCTTTCTCGTTTGTATACTTGGTTAGCCTATACATGGGTTTTCGTTTGTAATTTTAGTATTTATTATATAATGCGTTTTCTTTAGTATTATTGTACATTTATTTGATAGTTTATACATGACTAAAATATGAAATTATATATTGAATGTTATGTTTGAATAATCTCACTTAAAGAATAAAATGGGTGATGAAAACTGATGGCAAAGAAATACCGCGATGTTTTTTTTTTATCATTTATTTCTGCGTTTGGTCAAAAATCGATTTTTAATAGCTTATTTTGAGCCCGTTTTGGCTTCGAAGCTCCGCCTCCCGAAGTTAACCTAAAGTTGACCTTTACGGAAGTGACACGCAGTCGGTCCTACGTTTGTTTGAAGGGATATTGAAGGGAGTTAACCGTTAACACTGTTGAATAAATATACTGTAATATAAATCATTAAAGGTACATATACAGTTTTTTAATAAGGACATGATGGAACGTCGTAGGCTACCCTGTAGCTTTTCAACGAATAAAGTCCTAAAAAGGTCATTGTGTAATAAAATGCCTCCGACGTGATTCGAACCTGCGACCTCTCGCTGACAAGGCGAGCGTCATAACCACTAGACCATGAAGGTCCAAATAACTTTAACGGAAGTGACACGCAGTCGGTCCTACGTTTGTTTTGACAGACTTGTCGACGTATTGTATAGGCCTAGCCATGGTATAGCATAGTGTATTGACATAGACTACCATAGAAATGGTCTTTTGTTACCAAACAATGCCTTGTTGTGTGGCTGCAGCAACAACCATTCGAACGATTTTACCAAGCATCAGATAACAAAAGACGAAATTTTAAGAAAAAATTTACCGAAGCCGTATCAGAAACCTGTGTAGAGTACACTTCTAGGCTTCATACATTCAGTGTTGTGCAGCAAGCATTTTCCGGTCGATGACTTGGAGTCAAGAAGTGTACCGGCATAACAAGCATTAGGTTTTCTGACCGCAAACACAAAAAAAAAAGATGGAGACCAGAGCAGTTGGTGGGCAATCAGGAGAGTAAACGAAGATCTACAGCCTACGAAAAAAGAAAGGTTCAGTGCAAGGTAGGCCTAGGTCTGTTTTCCTTTTACAAATTTCGCTTGTACTATAGGCCTAAGCCGGGCTAACCTTCGCGTAGGGCCTAGCTAGGCCTACACCATGTTTTTCGAAAGAAGCTGGGTCGTATAAATAACACTTAATGTTGTACAGTAATGTGAAATAATTAATTTGTATTCGTCGTGTTTTTAAAATTTAAAAAATACAATAGCATTGCTTAGGCAAGCAGAGAGAAAGAGGGTAGTACAGTACTGTAGTACTTGAGTCTAGTGCTAGGCTTACTGTAGCCTACAGTAGGAATGTGCATGCGCATGACTAGCGAGAGGAGGTATATTACTACCTACTAATACAGTACTAGATAGTACTATTTAAAAAATGCGCCTAGCCTAATAGTACTGCTTATTCTACCACCACTTCCATGATAATCTTGTTTAGTTATTGGTGTAGCCTGTGTCAATATACTATATCCTTAAATGGTATTTTTAATCGTATCACTTTATCACAAACTTATGTAAACACAGGGGTGACAAGAACAATCATCTCTAATTGAACATGTTTCGTCGTGAATAAAGTTTATGAACTATAATTAAAATAATTTTATAAATATTAAAAAATGATAAATAAAAATATTTCTATGGTTTCCACAGGACTTTGTTAGCTGCAATGCATTACAATGAGAACTGTGGAAGACAGCAGGCTACGACTAAGAGTAGAGGAGAAAGCCGATTTTCAATTAACTACCCAATCTATGGTAAGTAATTTCTTTGCAACAAAATACACAATAATGGTATATATTCCTCTGTTTCCTTTAATGATAGTTACTTTTGGTTTACTTTGTTTAATTTGTATTTAAGTCAAAACGGTCTTGTGAAAAACACATTTTATGTAACAAGTCTCTCCGTTTGTAAATAAAGTTGTTACATTATTCTCTATTGTACTTTACTCTAAAATGAAATAACGAAGGAATGTGCTAAATTTGAACGTGCTCTTTATTAAAACAATAAAACATTTAATATTTTCCAGACTTTGTTGACGCTTTTGGATCTAGGGATAAGTTGCTGTAGTACTAATGTTTGCAGCTATATACAGATGCCCCACCATATCTTTGTAGCAGTTATGAAAAATAGGATAAAACAGAAGATATTTCTGCTCACTGCACCCGCTTTGCTGAGTAACTGCCTAACATATGATAAACTTTAATACTTGAACCCTGTGTATTTATTGACTAGACTTATATTTTCTTCTTATTCGAACGACAGCACATGAAAGGATAAACACATGATCACTCCTGCCAATATATCCGTGCGTCTACTTTACAAAGTTTCTGTAGGTGGTGTTTCCGAATTTCCTGAAAAAAAATTGAATATAGTTAAGGAAAGATAATGTAAAGGGGTAGAAATAAAAATGTATAGATCCGTTATTTTATTTTTTGGGGGGAGGGGAGGGGGTGGCGGAGAGGTGGGGTTGCAAACCTTAGGACCTGTACCCCTGGATGCATAGTTGTAAAATGTAAAATACTGTAAAGTTTTTGTTTTTTTTTGTTTGTATGTACAGTATTCGTAAATAAGTGCATTTTATGAGACTAATATCGACTACAAAAGAGGTTGTACTATAGAATATTTTTCTAAAATAAAGGCTCGTTTAAAAAAGACTTTTTTATACTGTTTGTTTTTATTAACTTGTACATATACAGTGCACATTAACATATACACTATATTGGTTATAGAGCTTTACTTGTTTTCAGATTTTTTGTTTTCGTGTTGTTTGTATTCCTGCCATCTGTAATGCTAATCAATCATCTAAACAACTACTGTAGCATGACATCCAGAATGAGATGTAGTTTCACCTGTGATTTCAGCATCTCTGTCTTTAGTACAGGGTTTTTTGTAGTAAAATAGGCTCGAGTTCGCAATTCATGTTAATTTATGGCAACGATGTTTTCCGACTCAGAATTTTATACTGAACACGAAAAACGTTAGTGCAAATTTTTTCGAGAAGGTTAACTGGCCGCTATCTTGGAAAACAAGATGGTGGACGTCAAACATAGTATTATGTGGTATCATTGAAAAGGAAATCATGCACTGAATTTTTTTTCCCATTACACTAATATGAATAAATGCACAGAAACGGAGATATTTGCCATTAAACACGTCATTACCTGCTGCTCTCTATTGGTGAAAATTTAATTTTTATTGTTGTTTGTAGGAAGTTGGTTGGTTTTCTTGGTTCTAATACAGATAGTTTGTAGAGTATTATGTTTGTAACTAATTTAAAACATTATTAAACAAATTTCATTTGTATTTTTTTCATTAAACAATGTAAATAACCATATTATTTGTTAATTGCAGTGACAGTTTCCTATCAATATGTTTGTTTAAGTGCATGTTAATACAGCTGCAATATTCTAGTATTTTCCAGTCTTGGCAAAAACAAAATCGTTAAGCAGACCGCTTGATTATCAGAGCAATTGTAAATACCGTATTTATTGGAATATATTCCCAGAAACTTTTATTGTTATGAAGGGTTTTAAGGGGACGTTTATTTGAGGGACGCATTTATTATTATTTTTTTTTTATTTGGTGTGAATTTGATGCGTATATACTCAAAATATATGCCCTTAAATTTCACTTCAACACATAATTACTATCAAAATGAAAGAAAATAAAAATGTAATTCTACTGCAGTAGAAAATCAATAGAATCTGTTGACAATGATGTTGCTTTGTTTACTGTCATTTGGTTGGGTGGGGGGTTGATTATTTGATAAAATATATTAAGGTGTTTATTCCAAATGAGGCTCTAGAGGCAATGTTTATTCAAATAAATATGATAACACTTTTCATGTAGAAGTTTTAGAGAATGGGAATATCACACCAGAAACCATCTTTTAGGGGTTACAACAAAAAAGGTGACCATTTCTTGATATTGACCATATGTCTAAATATTAAATGTAAATTGTGGATTCACCTACAGTAATAACAGGCATATTTAATTTTAATATTTATAATTAAAGTTCTCTGCACTATCATTTCTGTCTAATTTTAGAGCTAAACAAAATCAAAGGATGATGAAATAACAACCTTCATCGATCTCGGTACGACAGGCACAATTTCGCTGGAACAATATCGTTGGCAATTCTAGCTGAAACAAAACTCCGAATCTGGAAAAAAAACCTGGAACCTGTAGTAATACATTGGTTCCAAGTTGGAAGAAGTCATTTCCGGAAGATCTGCGGTGATGGTTCGAAGGGCCAGGGAGGGACTTTCATAGATGGAGGGTGTGAACCACATCAGCCCCACAATGGTTGGAGCTGAAGAAAATATTTATGATTGTGGCACATTTAGATGGCCGGAAATGGCCCTCTCAGGCATAAATTTGATAATAATAATTTTCATTTCTAACCTACTTTTTTTTAAATATTTTTTTTTTTATATTTAGGAGGCCTGGCCAGCTTTCCTACTCCCTGTACTCTACTACTGATCTGGTTAAAGATTTCTTAATACTGTACATTTATTTATATTTTGCTACACTTAGTGATACCCACCGGCACTGACTGCCTTAGAAATTGATAATATAGCAGTGAAAACATGCAAAATTATAAATTAATGGAGATTGTTGCTTTTGTTTGCAGGAGTGCGGGAGACCGTCTTGATTTCCCGGAGGCTCTTGTGAGTTCCAGAAGACTTGGGACCCCTACAGTGTCAATGTTTTTCTTGGGGTAACTTACAACTGATAATACTTTCTTGTTGCTTAAAACCATCTAGCATAAAGGAAACTGAGATGTGCTGGACACTAGGGTTTTCATAAAATAGTATTAGATCACTCCATTTGTATTATCATCTGAGGTCCATACTAATTTCGAATAATTTGATATTAGGCCTACTATAGCTCTCAAAATTAGGTAGTCGTGTTTCAGCTCACTTATTTTCTTCTTTACTGTCAATTATGTAATATTGTTTTAGCCTGGACTCAGAATGATAATGTTGGACAGGGTATTATTTACCCACTTTTAATTTTTTTTTATGAGAAGTGCCTATTATTATGTGAATCTATTATCCATCCATTATAATTTGATGTAATTTGTTTCGAAATTCTCGCAGGTAAACAAAGTGTTAAAAAAACCAACAATTATTAGAGAATTTCAGAATAACCCTTAAAGCATTTCTGCTTGTTTCCGAAATGGTTCCATTGAAATAATAAGAAATAACGCTACAATGACAAAATACAAAAAAGGCCTTATCCATTATTAGCTCTCAGTATCAAAAACATTTCATGTCACCTTATGTTTTTCTGCCAAACGATTTTGTTTAACCTTAAACTTTTAAGTATCAGGTCTCTGGCGGGCTGGCATAGTTTTACCTATTAACACTTTTTTTAATGAAAATTTCTCCCAATCAAGCAATTTAATTTTATGTTCCGTATGTTTTCTGCTAAATGATTTTGTTTTTGGCCCCCGGAAACTATAGTAGTCTCAGAAATACCGGCATGGTGTCTGAAGGGTAATAGTTTCATCCTGTAGTAAGAATATGTAATAATTGTATCTATATTATGTAATTGCAGCTGTTAGGTGTTGGTGTGCACTTAAATAATATATATCCCGGAAACTCTCAATCTCAATACTATAAAGCCTATACACAACAAAAATGATGATGTTCATTTTTTTTATGAAAAAACTAATAAGCTTGAATAAAAATGTTTTTGTTATCATTGTATCAGTCCATTTATAAACAATAATATACAAAGTGCCAGTATTAGAACTGAGAAATCAGGTAAATGTGTACAAAGAACTACAAAAATTAAATTGTTACCAATAGACAGCAGACAATGACATGTTTAATGGCGAATATCTCCGTTACTATTCATTTTTTTATATGGGTGTAATAGGAATAATATTCAGTGCATTATTTCCTTTCCAATGATACCACATAATGATATGATTGCCTAGATGTGTCCGCCATTTTGTTTTCCAAGATGGCGGCCAGTTAACCTTCTCGAAAATATAGCACCAATATTTTTCTTGTTCAGTATAAAATTCTGAATCGGAAAAGCGTTGTTGCTATAAATTAACATGAATTGCGATCAAAAACATAAGCCCCTTCACTATTTATAGTCTGTTGTCTTGTCATATTTTTTTTAACTTTTTAAATTTTTTTGTAGATTCTTGGCAAACATATCTAAACATATCTAAAAAAATTCACTGATTAAGAAAACATTGGGTGCCAGTTTTTTTATTCAGTTCTAGGGCCTTCATTTTGAATTTCAAAATGGCCGCTGTCAAAAATTAATTTTTAACAAAAAAAATTGCAAATCGATCATCGTTATTCATTTATATATTATACAATAGTCATTTTATTTTATCTGATATCATATAATGGGATCAGTGATGCATTGGGAAGAAAATAAGAGCACAAGAAATACCCCCCTCCCAGAAATCTTGCTCCCCCACACACCTCCCATTGGATATTCTTTTGCAAAAAAAAGTTATTCTCAAGTATTTATAAAATTGCCACATATCACCATATTTTGCCATCCGAATCTCCCTAACGTAATCACTGAGCACTGACATTTGACCTTCGCCCCTTAATTCCCACTGCCCCATCACCCCGTCCCGGGCCAGGCCCCTTTGCAAACTTCTTTGAACATTAAAAATATTGAGATAAAAGAGGAAAGGTATATTAAAATTTAGGCCTAAGACCGTGAGTGCCATTTCCGGCCCTCTAGTTGCCATAGCCACAACATTTTGTTCCTCGGTTTCTACAATGTTGGACAGTGGAGATTTAGGGAGGGGAATGTTTCCCCTGTTTTGCCACTGTCGTCTTTTTCCTTCTTTGTTAACAATCAAAATACAAAATCGCATACAAATGTTAAGTGTAACAGCATGTACTGAACATCAATCATGCCAGTGCAAGATATATATCTGTATAATAATAATAATAATAATAATAATAATAATAATAATAATTTAGGCCTATATAAAATTGTTGCCCCATCGTTTAAAATTCAGGATCCTCCCTCAGTGGGTTGGTGCCATGGAAGCTTTGAAACACAAATCCATTCATTCAAATCACTTCTACGAGATTTACACTCTCTGTAGATAAACACCAGCAGTCTGTCAAAAGTGATGCAGCGGCATTCTAATTCAAAAACTCAGACCTTGTGTTCAATTTAGAAAAAAAGTTAAATTAAATGTATTTTGCAGCTACCACCAATGTATGTTTCTTAAATTTTGACATTTTGACCCACAAATGCTACTCTTGAAGAGGCGGTGCTCTACAAAATATTTTAAAGCCGCTACAGTTGAATGATTTCTTGAAAATTTTGTCAAGAATAATCCATTTGACATTTAGAGTTCAAACTATTACAGCAGGGTGCAAAACACTGATTTTAGCTGAGCAACACCAGCTCAGCATTTTTTTTTTGACTGAAGCAGTTTGTGGTCTTGTGGTGCTGTAGCAGCGCTATAGTAGTGGCCTGTCTTTGGTTTGGTTCTGGTGTGCAAAAATGACCTCATAAAGAACTCCGAAACTAAGAGTATACTGGAGTGAAAAGAAAGGTCTACCAGTTTGTAGTGTTTGTTGAGATGTTCTATTACTTGACAGACCTTTCCTTCTTGAGATCTGCAATGGACAGTGTAGTAGAAACCACTAAATAAATGGTGTTAACATATCTGCCTAAGTTGATATTGCACTTAATACTATCCATAATGTCACCTTGTCCTCAGCAAACCAAAAACTTTCAGATCTGTTCCGATCTTCCAGTTAAGCATTGCTTCGTCAACAGGGGGACTCAAGATTAGGTACTATGATATTTTGGCATCATACTGGATCATATCCTAACACTTCTTCAACAAAACAATGAAATGGTTATTAACACACCGTCTTACGTAAACCTTATCAAGGTTAGCAGGGATTGAATGGGATGAATACTATAACAGTCCGGACATCACCAGCAGTGCTTGTAGCATGCAGTACTCTGGTACACGTTATACACTACTCCATGGAGTCACAGTTTTAATTCACAAAAAAGGTTACCTTGTTCTGAAAAAATAAATAAGAGTTGTTAGGTGCCAA